AGTAAAATACAAAAGACCATCAATAAATATGTAAAACTCTCCACTGTGCTCTAAGATTTACACACTTCCATATTCCTCTCATCAGGATGCTTTTCATTGAATCATTATTATCCTACTTAGTTAACTCGTCTGTCTTTAGCTGTGTTGTTTTCTGCACTTCTGTTTTCTTTATCTGGAGATCCAAACCAGATCATAATGCGGGTGAAGCACCTGATAACGTGGTTGTGTCGTTCACACTAAATGATCTGGTCTCAGATTGGTGACGTTTGGTTTGTAGAAGTTTTCAGTTCAGTGCATCTGAATGGATAAACATATTCAGCTCCAGTTTCTTCCTCAATCTGTTCAGTTTTACTTCTTTCAAGTTCTGGAAACAATCCAAAGATAACTAAAGCAAAGGGGATTGACGTAACGGCGACCTGACACCAGCCTGCTTTAGTTTTCTGTTCAGTTTGTCACCAGGCAACGTCGGCTGGAAAGAACCCCGTTCACAGTTTTGATTGAAGGAAGTTGACTGAACCTGCAGCGCTAATTAGGTGGAAAAACGAAAAACCAGGAGCACAACAGATGGAGCACGATGAGATGAATGCAAAGGCTAAATGTGATGCAATTATCACAGTCAGAGAAGCGTCTTGTTCCTGAGATACGCAGCCATAACGCCGTCAGCCCGGTGGTGTGAAACAGCGTCGAAGACACTTGGACCCACTTCACCTGCCTTTGTAAACCTAAAGCCTCTGAAGTCCCTCGTCTACCGTCCGTCTATCGCTCCTCGTTTGTGCTAATGAGCAGGAGAAGCAAGTTAAAGACAGCACAGCTCAGGCTTTTATTCCAAATAAAAACAGAACAAAGTTTCAGGACGTCACCTTTTCACCAGGTGGTCAGCGGCTCCTCCCGGTGCAATTATTTAAGCTCCAGGACGACAGAGTTTCATCCACACACACAGAAACAAAGCTGCTCTTAGAACAACATGTCGATATGTAAAAATGAAAACTTGCAAAAATCATTTGACATGACAAGTGTTGTCAGAAACGTGCTTCTAGATTTCTGAGATTTTGTATTTTTTTCATTCTTGACCACAAAGAATTCACTCCTAACATAAAAAAAATATAAAAAGCATCACAACTTCTCATTTTAAATAATCTCCCACACTTCTCTGTTCACGGATAGAATTTTTTTTTGAGGGATTCCTTAAATATTGATGGGATTTTTTTCCCTATAAACTGAAGAACCTGCTCATAACTTTCTACTTTCATTAAAAGCTCGAAGGCAAAAGTTCAATATTTCAACTTCATCTGCAGCATTTATTTATTTTTTAGTCACGTGCAATATCCCAATTTAATGTGTTATATTTTGCAATATCTAAATTTCATGTGCAATTTGTCATCATCATGTGAGGTGTTAGGATCATTATGACTTCCTACTTTTTATATTTTAGCCTTATTTTAGTTCATTCTTATGTCTTATTGCTTTTCTACTAGGCGCTACATTTCCAAATATTGTGTCGTTTTGTGTTCGGAGCAACAACTGGCAAAAGAATTTCCTCGTGGATTAATAAACCTTCATCCTATCAGGTCAAAAACATGACAAACTGGCAAATGTGTGAAATTAAATTTGTCTAAATGCTTTACATTAGAAGCATGTTTACATATTTATGGCTGCAGGAGTTGCTTCTGATTTGAGTGAAACTACATAAACTGCACATTTCATGCATTAACAAGACAAAGGTTGCTGGATTCTCTGCTGCAGTTTCCAGCCACAGTCCCTCAGCAGTCACGAGTGATAAAAAAACACAAAGACCAAATCAGCGTTTTGTGGAGCCGCTGGAACTGGCCCCAGCGCTCTACCTGATGCCGGCCACCATGTGGATCCACCAGTTGGCCTGCACCGTCCAGCCCAGCTGCTCGCACTCGGTGATCTGCTGGAGGAAGTGCTCCTTGGCCTCGGCCTCGGTCTGCTCCTCCTGCAGCGCCTCCCGCAGGTAGCGCATGTCCTCGGCGGCGCTCAGCTCGGGGATGCCGGTGAGCAGCATCAGGGAGAAGAGGGTGACCAGCAGCCTGGAGTGGGAGCGCAGGGACAGGTAGGCCTGGGTGCAGGTGTCCTGGAGCGTACCAGGACGAAAACAACTCTTAATATCGACACTTACACGCATGCACACTGTGGATTCACGTTTCACACATGCATTGAATCTACTGCCCAGATCATCCACATCATGTCAGCTGTTAAATGGCTAAACGTTTACATCTTCACATATAGATGCATTCTGTACGTCTTCTACCCTGAAGCTGGCACATACAGAAATGAACAAAAGAGTCAGAAAAGTTCCAGGACTGGTGTCACTAAAGATATATTTCAAACCACAAACTCTGAGTTTTCCCCTTCAGACGATCAACCAGCAGATCCGTTTGCTTTGTTCAGAGAAGAGGCAGAGTTGTGGCAGGACCAGTCGTGGCTGCTTCACCATGACAACCTGCTCACAGCGCCCTGAGCATCTGACAGTTCCTGGATGAGAAGAACATCTCTGTGCTGGAGAAGCCTCTCTAATCATAATAATAATTAATCAGATTTATACAGCACCTTTCTAGACACTCAAAGACGCTTTACACTGTCAGTTATTCATTCACACACATTCATTCTGGTGGTGGTAGCTACGATTGTAGCCACAGCTGCCCTGGGGCAGACTGACAGAGGCGTGGCTGCCATCCTGCCCCTCCGACCACCACCTCAAACAATACACCAGGCAAGGTGGGTGAAGTGTCTTGCCCAAGGACACAACGACCATGAAACAGACTACAGGGCAGAATCAAACCACCAACCTTTCCATCATTGTCCGACTCGCTCTACCACCTGAGCCACAGCTGCCCTCTACTCACCCCACCTGGCTCTGTGGGGTTGTTTCCTCTTCCCCAAGCTCAAGGGGGTCATCAAGGAGACCCGTTCTGAAGACGTGGACGACATCAAGATGGCTGTGATGATGGAGCGGAGAAGGCTGGGGAAGTGTGTTAGACTCCAGAGGGATTACTCGGAAGGAGACAACTTGTAGTTTGGATTTGAAATCTATCTTTTGTGGCACCAGTCCTCGTACGACTCAGACTTTTCTATGTTGAATCACTGGAACACACAAATCTTTGTCCCCAAAAAACCAATCATCTGGATCTTCTGGAAATCTTTTTAAAAGTCTGCCGGGTCAAAAAAACACATACAGCAGCTGCTTGAATGATCAGTTTTGGTGCCGTAGAAAGTTGTGTCTCTTAACTTCCTGTATGTGATTATGATTGACGACAGCTGCTGACTCCTCTGAGCTCATTTAAACAACTCTGTCGGCTTGAGAGAAACCAGCGAGGTGTTGTGTGCTCTGGATCCACCTCAGATACACAGAGAGTCTAAACTAAAACCAGCCGTGGAGGAACGAAGCATTCGAGGAACACACGAGACTTTCAAGCCACCTTTTAGATTTTCATCGTTAGTAGGAACCATTGAGCTTTTTACATCTGAACCCCACACAGAAACACGACTCTTACCCTGAACCGCTGGAAGTAGAGGCTGTTGCGACCTTTCACCCTCCCCATGACGTACAGGAAGTCGGGCGTGAGGACGAACGGCACTCGCTCCCGCCGGACGCCGAGGAAGTGCTTCCTGTTTCCCAGGATGTGGCCGAAGTCGATGTGGAACAAGTTTCCTGCGAGAACCACGAAACACAAGATCAAGTTTTGCTCCGATCGCCGACTCGTCCGGTTTTGTAACTCAGCGTCATTTTATTAAAGAATCGTGCAGCGGTCGATACACGGGGGAGTTTTTTCAGTTTCTTTGGTCCCCTGGCGACCACCAACTTGAGCCATCAAATCGTCACCAGAGTTTCACGGTTAACGAGACGTAACAGGAACAAACGGCTTCCCGCCTTTAACGGTCAGCGCAGCGTCAAGCAGGACTCGTGTTTGGTACCTTGGTCTGTGATCATGATGTTGTCGTTGTGTCGATCTCCTATTCCCAGAACATATGTGGCCACGCAGTAACCGGCGCAGGACTTCACAAACTTCTCCAC